ACACACACACACACACACACACACACACACACACACACACACACTATCTACTCACCACTAGAAGTTGTACTTGTATCTCGCAAAGATAGAAGTACAACTTAACACACACCGACCTTAACTTAAATCTGCACTTAAAGCCTTAAAGGTTAAAGGTACAGTGTGTAGAATTTAGTGACATCTAGTGGTGGAGTGTCATGTTGCAGCTGAACACCCCTCACCTCCCCCTCTCCTTACAAACATGACAGAGAACCTGTGGCAGCTTCAGTCGTCATAAAAAGTCAAAAGGTGTTTAGTTTGTGGCGGCCTCCGTAGAGAGGACTCAAATATAAAGTATGTAAATATAAAGTATTTAAATATAAATTGTCTTTTCTGGGGTAAAGAGAGGGAACAGCTCTAGTTTTTGCGATCAGGTTGGGGCGGCACGGTGGTGCAGCGGTTAGCACTGTGTGTGCGGAGTCCAAACACATGCACAGGTTAATTGGAGACTCTTAATTGGCCGTAGGTTTGAAAGGTTGATCATGTCTGTTGTTGTGTTGGCTCTGAAACACACTGACAGTCTGTCATTTACCCACATTCTGTCCAGGGTTGGCTGGAAACAGATTTAATTATGTCCGGTTGGTTCTTTGAATTACTTTAAGATTCGAAAAACATGGATGATAATAAATATCGATCACCGACGTGGTGCCCTGAAGCAAGGCACTTCACCTTCTGCTGCTGGACTGTGAAGGTAACTGTGGTCGTAACAGTCTGGTTGTGTTCGTGTGAGTCGTGAGCTCAGACTCTGGCTGCACAGATGTCGAGCAGCCTCCGTCCTCCTGACCTCCTGATGGTGGAGCAGAGGTGGGAGCTTGGCCGGACGCCTAATCCACGCAGGCACCCTGAGGATTACTTGACGTGTGCGTGCTAAACAAACACCTTAACTGGGTGAGAGGGGACGAGGACGATAAAGAGAGAACCAGTGTGAGAAAGTGATAAACGTCCATTTACTGAACAAACTGTCTCCTGCCGAGAGGGAGAAGTTGAGGGAAGGAGGCTGCGGGGATAAGGAAAGGGAGTGATCGGAGTGTTTACAGTACAGCTGCTCCATCTGTCATGTTACTGTACATGTGTGTTTAAGTGTGGTGCAGCGTGTGATCGATTTCCTGTGAGCAGATTGTAACAGGCAGCTGTGGGGAAGCTGTTTAGTTGCTGTTGGCTGATTTTAAGAGGCCTTTAAATCTTCAGGCAGATAAACGGCTCGGACATATTACCAGGTTCCTTTTCAGCTAAACATGTGTGTCCTGGAGCGACCTGACGGCGAGGGCACGTACCACATGTGTTCATGAATACGCCTCGAGCAGCAGGTCCCTGGTTTCAGTCCTGGCCAGGGGAACATCTACTGTGAGTGTCTCACTTACTTTAAAATATACTGCAAACTAAAAACGTGAAAACCTGCAGTGGTGGAGGTTCTGTTCTTTCTGTACCATATCAGATTATTTCCTTCTTCAGTATCCGTGACGCTCTCCCATCTTCAGCTACTCTACTTCTGTGACAGAATCTTTTACACACTGTGACCATGAAGTACTTGTCTCTGGTAGTTTTATGTCCTGTCTGTATTTCTACCAAAAAATATCCAATAAGCTGCGATAGATTCCCTGTTCTGTGTATTTCTGGGGAACATGTAGATATGACATCTTATTCCAATGCAGTCAGTTATAAACATTTTAAAAATACCCTCGACAAGAAAGGAACAAAGAACCAAAACAATCCCATAATTTAACATTGACTGAATCACTTGTTATTTAGGGACTGGACTTGTGTTGTTGGATGGGACGTCCAAAAACATCACTAACATGTCGTCGTCATTACTAATCCGGACGTCCAGACTTAAATGAACCTTAATGTGTTGCAATGTGTCGCTGTAACTCATTTAATTAATTAATTTCTTCTTCAATCAATCCTCAGGGATGCGACCCTTTCACCCAGACTCAGCGCAGCAAACTGCAGCACAGACGAGCTCGCATCAACCAGCAGATCAACAAGGAGATGCTCATGAGAGCAGGAGCAGAGAATCTGTTCAGGTAAGGCGGCTGGTTTTCTTCCTGCAGAAAATGATTCACCACCATTCACCAGAACGTATGTAGCGTTAGAATCATATCTTCACCAGCTAGATCTCTGCAGCACAAGTAGAGTTGCATTCTCAGATTCTCCTTCGATTTGCTACCGTGGTGTCATTTCTTGTGACATCACTGATATTAAGATGGACCCATTCTTCATGGTGCTCCTCTAGAATTGAAAGTCTCTCTGAGATGTGGTGATGGATGCTGTTCACATCTCTGCTGTGTCGGCCGGTTGCTTTTTGTAAACGTGTTGGCTCTGTCACATTTGTGGGAAAAGGTCAGAGATCACTGCCTCCCCCCAAAAACACACACACACACACACACACATTAACACACACAGGCAGGCCCCACCCAGTTTTATGGCTCTGTTTGTGTTCACTGTGTGTAAACGTGTGTGTTTATGTGTCTGTCTCTTCTCTCATTTCAGTACTTTTTTAAGAATCATGAATAACAATATTAAACCCTGCATTCTTTAGCACTACGAGTGCCAGCAGGGAAAATCACAGTGAGCTGAACTGAGCTGAACTGAGCTGAGCTGGCTCTGTGCTTCAGAAGCAGCGGGCTGTCATTCACACAGCGTGCTGGAGTTTTATTGGTGGAGAAATGAAAAAAGAAGCGGTGGCAGAACATCAAAGTGTTCTCTCTGAGAACATTAACATCATCTTTATCCTCTCCAGCTTCTCCCTGTCTCTCTCCGTGCCCTCGCTGTTCCTTCTTTCCTCTTAACTACCTCTCGGGCTGTTTGTTAATCCCCTCGGAGGCAGATGACTGAAGAGATGGTGGAAAACTGTACATTTAATATATGTGCACACGTCTGCTCTATATACACCGTTTGCTGTGGCGGGTTTGAGGTCATTGGCGGCGTGAATAGGCCGATGTGCAGAAGTGTGAGAACGGTGGAGTTAGTTGGAGCTCCCTCGCTCATAAAGATGCAGGGAGTAGGAGGAGGAGACACTTAATTAAAGCAAGGAGCCACTTGGTGCCTCGTTAGAAGTGCCGTGTCAGAATCTAATAAGATCAACACAGAACTCCTCACTATGATCCCAGCACTTGTTTGGCTACAACTAATTAACTTTCACAAAGATCTTTCTCAGGAGTAGATGGATGATGGACGTCGGGGCCACTACGACTAATTAACTATTTCATTTTTATTTAGTCACTCCGTTAGTTTATTATTTATTTCATCGTCCATATGCATGTTTTGTTGACACATGTTTTCTTGACTGATGCATAATCATAGATATTAGTTCACAAGAATATAAAAGAAGAGCAGTTACACAGTGAAAAACTTGAAACTTTAATATAGAAAAAAGCAGCAAATCTCACATTTGAGAAGCTGGAACCAGTGAATGTCCCTTGAATAATGAACTAATTTATATTTAAGGATAATTCTCTAACAAGTCGGGACTGTTTCTCCCCTCAGCTCCATTTCTGACCGGTTTCAGGCTGTTATCCTAAAAGGTGATGACTCAGTTCAGGGGAAATAAAACAAGTGCTCGTGCCCTTTCTGTCGGGACGGTGGGTCACAGAGACAAAGAGGACCCCCACGCAGGCTGGCGGCCTGTAATCAGCTGGCTTTGTGTCCGCCTCCCGTCCTGTTCCCATGCAGAGATCTCCAGCGAGGCCCCGGCAGGCTCATCCCCCACTTATTTGTCTGGCACCGTCAGAGCTTTCTCTTTTTTTTTTTTGTCCTCCCACTTTTTCCGGTCAACTGGAATAGCCCACCCACACACACACACACCTACATACTGACACACAGAAACTCCTCCATTTACTTTTCACTCCCTGTTGTGGAACTGGGTCGTGGTGGGGGTGTTGACGGGTGGGAGGCGATGCTAATTATGGATGAGAGATGGGTTGTGATTGGCCCATGAAGACGTCACATTGTGTTCTGCAGGGTGTGTCTCTCTGTGACAGTTCATCTGGACGATAGTTAGGTCCTGGTCTCTCTGTCAGTTAGTTGTCAGTTATTATTTAACTAGGATCACTATAGTTTCCTGCTCCCCTGCTCCGTCCTGATGCTTTCTACCAAGAGAGACTTATTTATTTATTTTTTTCCCTTAAAAAGCTGCAGAATGTTGAGCGTGCAAGTGTGTGTGTGTGTGAAGGGGATATTTGGTTGCCCATTTTAAAGCTGACTAATCAGATTGTCCTTGGCTTGATCCTGTGTGTGTGTGTGTGTGTGTGTGTGTGGGAGGGGGTGTCAGGAGGAAGTGACGGAGCGAGAGGTGAATGTAAAATGTTCTACCTGGACAGATCTTTTATTACGGCCACGTTACAGTTCAAGATAAAAGATGTAACTGAGGATGAAGTTTAGATAATAACATAAGGTGCAATAATACAAAGTCAGTCATTTAATGAGAAAACGTTGTAATAACAAGAGGAAAAAGTCACAGTATTGCGAGAATAAAGAAATAAACATTGATTTTTAAATAACCAACAAGGAGAGTCTGTACTTTCTGCAGTTCCACTTCTTCTGGATCCAAAATCTGGAAAAATCTTTGTTTCTTGACGAACTATGAAACCTCTATGATCTGACATTGGCCTAAAACTGAGACTTGATTCTCCTAAAATTATGACAGCGATGTTTCTTGAAGTGGCTCTAATGCTGCACGTCACATTTTACAGGTTCTCCGGCAGAGACTGAGTAAAGATAAGGGTGTAGTGATTCGTCACACTCATGGTTTGGTTCAGACCTCTGTGCCTTTCACTTGAATGCACCTTCAGGCTCAAGTAATATAACTTCAAAAATGTGCAACATTTCCTGTGATGTTTCCACAAACCAGGAATATCAGCACCTGCATACTAAACTTGAATAGAGTTCATACCTCCCAGAAGGCTCAGCAGTCCCTAACATTAAATTCAGAAGCACCAAATTAAATATCAGTTCTTCTTTTCATCAAAATACATTAATTATTCTCTGAGAGATCAGTAAAACTGTTCCTTCTCACAATGTTAAAGACAATTCCTGGATCGGCCCCCTGATCTGGATCCACACCAACTTTAATCAGTTCTCTCCCGACCCACATCCTTCCTCCAGGTTTGGTTTGAGTCCGTCCACTAGTTTTTGCATGATCCTGCTGACGGATCCAAACAACCAGCTGACAAACGGACAGACGTGAAAGCTTTACCTCGCTGGCAGAGGTTGAAAGAGCAGGTTTGAATTTACCTTCAGAAAGTGACGGTCAGAGGTAAAAGAACTGAACCGACTCTGTGTGAATCCTTTGTGTTTTCTGCAGAACTTTGTCGTTCAGGACTTTGAATGAAGGAAACCTGACAGATGTCTTTTCTTTCACACAGTGAGAGAAGTGTGACTTGTGCATTATTTAATCTCTCACTTGAATAGTTTGGCTTTTTGTCTTCAACAGTTTCTGTTTGCTTTTCCTCCCTGAATCTTCCTCCTGATGATGCATCTGATGACTCAGCAGCATGACCTTTAATTCCACTTCGAGACTTCAAATGAAGAAAACCTCTCGTCTGGTTTTATTTCTGCTGCTTGGCAGAAATTTGTATGATCTTGTCTCTTTTTTTTTAAAAGTTTGTCAGAATTACTCATGTTCACTGTTTTGTGTTGTCAGTGTTTCTCGTCTCTGCTCGTCAGCTCCCCCTCATCCTGTTCAGCTCAGTGTTGTTGAATCGTTGTGTCAGTGGAATTTAACGATTGACTAATTCTGGGGGATTTTCTTCGACACTTTTCCAGCACAGTGTTTGTCATAAGTTGCCGTGGTAACCGTGATGCCTCGGAGGAACATTGAGTTCCCCCGAGATAAATCCAACAACCTTCCCCACCCTTGTGTTAGAGTCTTTGAAAGAACAGAGGATGATGAAGGAGGGGGAGAGATGATGCATACATTTATTGAGAAAGAGAAGTCCACAGCTTTGTGTGTTTATGGTGTCGGTGAGAAGTGTAACAAAGTACACACACTAACACAATTGTCTTTTTTAAATTTCTTTTAGCCTAATTGTTCTAAAATTTCCAAACTTACATAAAATACAAAAACAGTGACAAACCTTTCACAGACGTTCTGATGGATGATATCTGATTGTGTGTGTGTGTTTTTTTATTGTGCAGGGCGACGACCAACAACAAGGTGAGGGAGACTGTTGCTCTGGAGCTCAGCTTCGTCAACTCCAACCTGCAGCTGCTGAAGGAAGAACTGGAGGAGCTCAACAGCAACATGGAGGTTTACCAGACCGACAGGTACACGGCTCGGACTCAAACTATCCTCCTGTTAGTATTTGAGCTGAGAATTCCAAACCACAATCATCAGACTAATGGTAGTTGATAGTTGGTTGTTTTCACAGTGTGTGTACTGCTGTGTATCTTTGTGAGGGCCACTTTATGTTTTGGATTTGGTTTTGATCTCAGTTTTTATGAGTGGGTTCAAACTTTGTGAAGAATTAGGCCTTGGCTGATTGGTTAAGCTCCTGTCACATGACCTCCCTCCTGAACAAAAACAACCAGCCTCAGCTACCAGAGACGAACACAACATGGAGAATAACCAGATTTGTATGTGGAGGAGATGAGATAAGAAGCACTTCCTGTCCACACCATATGCCCAGTGTACATGATTGGTCCCGTGATTTGTGTTTCCAGGTGTTTGCATGTAGACTGACAGTTCAGGTTTCATTCAACATGTGACGACACACACACACACACAGCTCAGAGGTTTCCCCCCGTGCAGCCCCAGGTCATGGGAGGGATAAACCCCCTGATTAGTGTCATTAATGGGACTGTAGTGTGTGTGTGTGTGTGTGTTTGTGTTCATGGTCAACGAGAGGAGGCGAATGTGGGGGAGGGGAGGGCGTAAGGGTTAATACTTGGCTTTAGCTTGGCTTATTAGCAGGATGGAGCAGCGTTCCCTGCTGCGTTAGAAGATAAGCAGATGGTGTTTGTTGTCATTAGATAACCTCAGAACGGACCCGGGTTCTTCTCAGAACCCTTCAAGGTGCTTGTTGACTCCCTCCTATAGGGTTCCTCCAGAAACCCAAGGTCTCACTGGAACCCTCAAAGGTTCCTGCAGGGGCTTCATGACATTTTCTTACAAGGACACAAGACTATGAAATGATTACATGAAACACCTTGAATGAAGTATGAATTTATTTTACCGTACAAATTGATATTTGGGTAACGCCATCATATTTAAAGGGTTTCTTAAAACACCAAGGTGTGTGAGAAACCAGCGATCTGTGTGTGTGTTTGACAGATTACAAACACATTCTGTATTTATTTCTTTTCACAGTGAGGCTGTCAACGTTCCCATGATCCCACTCGGCCTAAAAGAAACCAAAGAGGTGGACTTCACACTTTCCGTCCAGGTGAACACAGCATCGACTCTCATTCGTGTCTTTTATTAAGTTTTTATATTCACACACTGGTGAGAGCGACACCGTCTCTGTCTCATTCTTACGAACACATTTTAAAAACACCATCTCCTGATGATTTGTTTTTCAGCTCAGACATGCAGCAGTTTAAACTGAAAACACATTTGCTGTTTGCAGCTTGTTGTCATAATTGAACGTGTTTTGTCTGTTACCTTCTGCTCTAGTGGAGCATCTGTGATCAAGTCTTGCAGTTTGTCTACACGCTGTAAAATGTGGACACGCACACGGTCTGTGTAACTGATTCATCCTCATGCCGTGTCTGTCTCCTCTCTCAGGACTTCATCTGCGAGCACTACGGAGAGGACAGCTCTCTGTACGACAAGGAGCTCAAAGAGCTTATGGAGCTCAGACAGGTTCATAAATTCCCCTTCACTCAAAACAAACACTCATCTACTTCAATATTAGATCTGTTTTATTAAAATAGTTGTGGGAAATCGATTTACCTCCTGGCAGCGGAAGCAGAAAATTGTATAAAAGGTCTCAAAACTTGGAGTCTGCCTGTCTGTGACGAGAGAGTTCTATTTGTTTGTCCTCTTTGGGTCAGGCCATGCGTACACCCAGTCGTAACCAGGCCGGTCTGGAGCTGCTGATGGAGTACTACAACCAGCTGTACTACCTGGACCAGCGCTTCTTTCCTCCACTCAGGAACCTCGGCGTTCACTTCCACTGGTAGGACAGAAGCTGTTAGTTAGGATGGTTTCCGTTTAGGAGTTGGTACGAATGTGAAAAGCAGTCAGACATCTTTAAAATGACAAAGACATGAAGTAAAAGTGGCGCTATACAAATAAAATAAAATGTGCATTCATCAAAAAGCTCAGTCATGGAGTTCACTGTATTCATCTGTTTTTACTCCGTCTCTCTCAGGTACGACTCTCTGACCGGCGTCCCGTCGTGTCAGCGTGCGTTGGCCTTCGAGAAAGGAAGCGTGTTGTTCAACATCGGCGCCCTGTACACGCAGATGGGAGCACGGCAGGACCGCTCTGCAACAGCTGGGATAGACAGAGCGATCGATGCCTTTCAGAGAGCTGCAGGTACAGAAACAACACAATCACACACGTGACCAGACGCACAAACAATAACAGAAGCATTGTTTCAATCGATAACAGTTGAACCTGTTCACTTTATGAGTTAAATCAGTTCTGTTCGCTCATAGTGAATTGATTTAATCTTGGGCTGAAACTAACGGAAGCGTATTCATTCACTTTAAGAAAAAAAAAAACTCAGGTTTTTGTGAGTAATTTATATTTTGGTCTGTTTTTGGAATAATTTTTTCCCCCAGTTTTTCGGAGTAATTTTTTTTTCACAGTTTTTCGGAGTAATTTTTTTTCTGTTTTTCAGAATAATTTTTTTTCTAAGTTAAGAGAACATTTGAAACAATAGACGCATTCATTCCTTTATCGAGAGCTCGATGTGATTACTCCGAAAAACAGCAAAAAAAAAAAGTCTGAAAAACAGAAATAATTATTCAAAAAAAACAAACCAAAAAATAAATTACTCCGAAAAAAACTGTTTTTCTCTTTTTTTCTCTCTCAAGTGAATGCAATACGCTTCTGTAGAAACTAATACATTTTTATCCCAAAAAAAAAATTACTCCGAAAAACTGAAAAAAAATTACCCTGACAAGCTGAAAAAAAAAATGTCAGAAAAACAGAAGAATAAAAAATTACTCTGAAAAACAGAAAAAAAAAAATGTTAGAAAAACTGAAATTTTTTTTCAAAAAACCAACCAAATAATAAATTACTCAGAAAAAACTGAGTTTTTTTTCAAGTGAACGCAATACGCTTCCGTAGAAACTAATACATTTTAATCAGAAAAAAAAACTCAAACAGAATAAAAAATAAAAATTACTCAGAAAATTTTTTTTGTCTGAAAAACAGAAAAAA